GGCCTCTGCTGACCCCACGTGCAGTCTGCTGTTGGTGTCAAGGAAGTGCTGCCTGCCCAACTTTCAGAACGCCGGGCTGGGTGCTCTGCTGAGGTCAGGGTCAGGAGTTCCTAGGCCAGCTCTGGGGGCCCACAGGGCATGAGGGGGGCCCAGGCAGCCAGCCCGGCCCAGCCTCATTCCACTTGGTGGCCTTGGGGGCAGGGGGTCACTCCCTTGGGTTTCTGGGGCCTGGGGAACTAGGCGTGAACTTGGTCCTGTGGTCTGAGTCCAAGAAGACAGGTTGTGGGTGAGGAGAGTTGGAGGGAGGAGCAGCCTCGACCTCAGCCTTGGGACTGTGTTGCAGAAGCACCCTGTCTGGCCCTCCGCTGGGGGCCTCAGCCAGCATGACTCTCTGAGAACTCCTCCAGGGCTGGGCCTAAGTGGGAACCTCTTCTTCCATGAGGGTTTACTCATTCCTCAAAACAGGCACAGAAGCAGAGGGCTATTGAGGGGTAGTGACCTGACCCTGGCTCTGGCTGTTCGGGTCTGGGCGCTGTGGATCCACTCCATGAGCACCTGGGTGGGTGAGGATCAGCCTGGAGGATCAGGGAGGGCTTCTTGGAGGAGGGAGTGGTGTCAGAACTGAATGTTGAGTGGAAGGGCCAAGAAGACCCTAAGGCTTCTGGGGCTGGGGGTGGGGGTTGAAAGCAGAAGGGGAGACCAGGCTGGGCAGGGATCTGCTCTTCCACCCACTGGCGCGGGACTCCAGGCTTGGCCCGGGAAGGGACCCCTGCCCCTGGGAGCAGGACTCCCCTGCAGCACAGAGGCAGGTGGGGAGTATGGCCTACCTGGAAGGGGCTTCTGGAGAGGTGTGCCCTGGCAGAGCCCCACCTCCCTCAGCAAAAGACAACAGCACCAGGCCCCAGCCCCAGAGAAGCCTGACCAACCAGGGAAGTCCCATGGCCTCCTCTGAGGAGCTTGGCCTCTAGATGGGGGTTGGCACTTCGGGGTCAGGCCAGCTGCTGGGGGGCCCTGGGCACCGACACATGCACCCTCCCAAAAGGAGTGGGGCTCCCGGGGCCCCGGGCCCACACCCATCACAGACCCTCTCCAAGGCCTTGGGATGATGGGGTCCTGGAGCTGCTGTGCCTGGGGCGGGGGGGCTGAGGCACACCATTTGCCGACACTGGCCGCTGGGCTTTTCCCTACCCAGGCCTCACGTGGGGAGCCCTGCCAAGCCCAGGTTGTGGTGTGCACAAGGACCTGGCTGCCGGGCAGGGCTCTGGAGAGGGCTACCCTGGAGCAGCGTGGGAAAGGAGCCAGCTGGGGGCCAGGCAGGACCAAGGACAAGGCCACCAGTGAGAAATGTGGATGTGAGAGTGGCCGCCAGGCAGGCTGGCACTGTGGGGGAAACTGAGTCAAAGGCTGGGCCTCCTCACCGTGGCCAGGGGCCACCCAAAGACCAGCTGACCAGACACAGAGCTGCCTCAGTCACAAGCCCCCCACAGCTCAGGGTGCCACCCCCGAGTGACATCCCCAGGCCGACTGGCGCAGTGGAGGGAACTGACATCCAGGGTCTCGTGATGTCCCCGGGAACCGTGATGGAAAAGCCTCTCAGCATTCGGGGCCGCAGCCACTGTGGGCAGCGAAGGGTCTGCTCCCGCCGAGTGGCCTCGAGTCCAGTCCTGCCTGACACGCGGCTTGATTCCTCTGGGCCTCTGTTTCCTCATCTGCGCCCTGAGGACATGAGCAGTGTCTTCCAGGGGGACATGAGTGTGAGGTGCCCACCCAGCCCGGGGAGGCTGAGAGCTGCAGGCAGCCTGGCAGTGAGGATCCCCCCGCCCCTGCCACCCCGGGTCCCGCTCACACCACACGCGAACACTTGCTTCCCTCTCAACTTGTTTCTGGCATGTTCTCTGTCTCACTGGACGTTAGTTTACCATCGGCTGCTGAACATTCTGCGGCTTCTATTATTTCAGAACTAATTTAAGGATTAAAAAATAATTCTCCCAATTACTGTGCAAAGCCCCGGGCAGCCAGGTAAACCGGGGGCAGAAGCCCCCTCTGAGGATAGGGCGAACCCTGCAGTCTCGGGCAGACAGGTGTGCAGGGCAGCTCCGGAGCAGCTCAGCCCCCAGGTGGAGCCTGGGATGGAGTCGGGGTGGCTGAGAGGGTCACCGTAGCAGCCCAGCCTGGCCCCAACATCTGATGGTTGCTCCCCACTGTCCCCCACCCAGGACGGCTGAGCCCAGCGGAGTTGTTGCCTTCACCAGTTGTGCTGGGTGGTGCTGCCCTGGCTGGGCTTGGGACGCAGGAATGGGCCCTTGAGCTGTGAAGGATTCAGTCCACAGGGTGCCCAGGGCTGGCCGGGCATCTTTGGTTGGGGCCAGGAGAGTCTGTGGCAGACCAACAGCCCGCATGTGGGGGGTGGAGTTTGACACACTCGGCTGATTCAAGCTGCTTTAATTAGCTTTCTGCACCTGCTCTGGGGTCTGGGTGACCAAGGCTGGACACCAGCTGCCACCCCCGCCCCCTGCCTGTCCAGCACCCGACCTCAGGGGTCTAGCTGGCCAGGGCTGGGCAGGCGGAGCGAGGGAGTGTTGGGGTGGGTGCAGGAAGGAGCTGAGTCCCTGGGCCCTGGCCCAACGCCCCACCCCCTCCCAGCCCCTCGTCAGCGGCGGCGGCCGGCCGGTGAGCTCATCTCTTCCTGGGCTGTAAATATCACCCAAGTGCTCACGACTCCCAAATGTGTCCTCCAGCCGGGCCCCTCTGCTGAGCTCAGCCTGCACAGCCCACGCGACACCCCCGCCCAGATGTCTCCTGGGCCTCGACAAAGCGGCCGCTCCTCTCGGCGCCCCCACCTCAGGGACGGGTGCCCCGTGCCGGCTGCTCAGGGCGGACGCCTGGGAGCCCCGCCCGCCGCCTCCACCCCATGGAAGCGTCCATGCATCCTGCTGAGTCTGAGTTAAAGCTCGTCCACTTCCTTCCGGATCCTCTCACCCCCCACCTCAGGTCTGGTGGGACTGTGCCCCACTCCCCACCCCTGCCACTGCACAGGCCCCCACTGTGGCCTGGAGGGGAGGGTGCAGAGCCCTGAGGGCAGCTGGTAGTGACAGTCAGCCCCAAAGGTGGCCTAAGGAAGACAGGTGCTGGCTTCTTAGTGAGGAGTAGGCCCAGCAGAGGTAATGAGCTGCTCGTCCTGGAGGTGCAGGCTGAGGCGGGACCTGCTGTCCTTCCACAAGCCAGGCAGCTCCGAGGCCACCAGCATCCACTGCAGGTGGGCCGCTCAGGTGGGGCTCAAGGCTCTTTGCAAATGGGTGACTTTGGTTTCCTGGCTCTGACTGCAGGAGCCCCCAGACTCAGCTGAGAGCCCTGCCCCAGATCCAGCAGTTTGGCTGTATCTTCTCAGGCATGACAGGGGCCACTTGGGAGAAAAACTGGATTAATAAATCCCTGCCCATGCCAGTGCCCAGGTACAGCCTGGCAGACTCCTGGGCCTGGCTGTGGGGTTGCAGAGACTGGGGGTGCCAGGGGTGCTGATGTGGGACTCCAGGCACAGGGCAGAGACCGTGCAAGATCTTGACATCAGGCTGTCCACAGAGAGGCTTCTGCTGGGGCTGCAAGGGTCTCCTGGGCCCAGAGGAGCTGCAGAAGGAGTCCTGTGCAAACAGCACCCCGCCCCGGCAGGGCTGCCCTGCCTGAGCTACCCTCAGCTCCTGGTAAGGCTGCCAGCCCTGGAGCTCAGGTAAGCAGAGGGGCAAACTGCAGGTGGAGGTGTGGGCAGCCACATGGAGGGCCTCAGCGCCTGTAGGCAGAGGCACAGAGTCTCCTGGAAGAAAAGACAGGGCATGTGGGAGGACCCTGAGGGTACAGACCAGACAGGCCCACCGAATCCTGACTGCCCTTGCGCGACGGGAGGGTCTGGGCTCCCGCTTGGGCTGCAGCACAGGCGCAGAGGAGCGGGCGGAGGAGCTGGGGCCTTGGCTGCTGCGCGTCCTCCCCACTTCTCCCTCCTTCTCCTCCCCCCAGGCTTCTGGAGCCCTGGCCGCCCCCACGACCATCTGGCTCCACCAGCAACGCTCCCCCACACCCTCCCCCACGTCCCTGTTTTTCTCCCTCTCCCCATCCCCAGCCACTGCCCTGGTGGGGAGGGGGCCCTTCCTGGGAAGGCTTCCTGGCCACGTGGACCTTGCCTTTTGTTTCTGAGTCCTCTTCGGCCCAGGCCGTGGGAAAGCGTGCCTGTGCATATTTCTGCCTGTACATATTTCTGCCTGGATGCGGGCTGCTCGAGAGCCCACGGTGCGTGCATGTATGTGCACGTGTGTTCTCTGCCCTGCTGTGTGTGCATGTGTGTGCACGTGTTCCCTGCTGTGTGCATGTGTGTGCATGCGTGTTCCCTGCCCTGCTGTGTGCGCGTGTGTGTGCATGTACGTTCCCTGCCATGCTGTGTTTGCAATGTGTGTATGCATACATGTGTGCAGGGACATGCAGACCCACCAGGGCCTGTGTTTGGGGTGTGGGCATGGTGTAAGTGGAGGTGCTCCGGGCACACGCATGTGGGGTCTAGTGTGACCACCAGCCGTGGTGTGAGGGTGCGTGGAGCCCCCAGTGGGGCCTGAGCCTTCCAACTCTCCTTAGGACCTTCGTCTTCTGCCACCCACCAGCGGTAGGAGGAGCGTCCCTCATCCTCAGCCTCCTCCTGGGGGCTGCCCGGGTGGGCTGACGGGTGGAGGGCCTCAGAGCAAATGTGTCCCCACAGAGGCTGCTATGTCCAGACCCAGGGACCCGCGTGTGCTCTGTTAGCCAGACTCAATGATGTCAGCCACCAAGCACACTCCATCTGTGCAGCTGGGGGGGGCAGGGGCACCTGGCGTTGGAGCTGCCCTTGGCCCAGGCTGCCCCGCCCGTGGTGCCGGGCAACTCCTCTTCCTCTGGGGCCTTGTGATGGGGGAGAGGCTGCCCGTCCAGTGCCCACCCCTGCTTCTCACCGCCCACAGCACCCTAGCCTGAGAAGCCACAGCTTAAGAAAAGAGCTCTTTATTCCACGTCGTCCGATATTTTTACACAAGTAAAATAAAATGCATATCTCTATATACCGCGATCTGGGTGGGAGGCGGCGTTCTGGAACAAACGCTGCCACCGAACCCTGTAAACATGATGGGGTGGAGATGGGGGTGGCGGGTGGGAGGCATCCGTCAGGGAGGGCCTGGCCTGGCCTCCCCACGGGTCGGCTGCCCGGCTGGCTGGCGGCGTGGAGAGAGACCCCGTATGTACACACACCTGGCTGCTGAGCACGCTGTCATGTCCACTGGGGGTCAGCAGGGCCCCAGCACTGTCCACAGCACCAGCGCCAGGCCCAGGGGGACGAGGCTGCAGGCGAGGCTGGGCAGGGCGCCCGAGCCCTCCAAGTCACCAGTCCCGCTGCCCCCGCTGCCCGCCTGGCCCAGACGGCAGTGGCTGCGGGTGCGGTTCTTGCGGGAACAGCCTGGCCTCCGGCGAGGGCCTGAGGTGGGAAACCCGGGTGGCTGGGAGCCCTCGGGCCGCACTGCGGTGAGCGGGGGCTCAGCAGAGCCAGGCAGAGTCCCAAAGGGGGAGTCGTTGATGTGCCGTGGGCCGGAGCCGTTGCCCGGCGGGCTGTCACCAGGCGGCACGCGCCCCTTCAGCGCATTGCCTGCCGAGGCCGGTCTCCCAGGCTCCAGCACTGAGGCCTTGTCGGCGGCGTCTGGCTGGCAGCACTTGGGGAGCCCTAGTGGCTCCTCGCTGGTGGCCCGGCCGGTCCAGATGGGGTGGTAGGGCCTGGCAGCCACAGCACAGCCCTCCAGGTCACTGGCAGCTAGGCGCTTGAGGTCGCGGCCGGCCAGGCGTTGGGGGAGGGTGCAGGGCACTTCCGAGGAGGAGCCGCGGAACTTCTGCAGCCAGCCCCAGAGTGGGCGTGCCCTGCAGTCACACACCCAGGGGTTGTCGTTGAGCCTCAGGTACTGCAGGGCACGCAGGGGCGCCAGGGCCTCGGTGGGCAGTGCTGATAGATTGTTGGCAAACAGATAGAGAGTCATGAGACGGCCGAGGTCACGGAAGGCGTGCGGGTGCACGTGGGCCACACGGTTCTGGTGCAGCAGGAGGCGGTCGAGGCTGTGCAGGCCACGGAAGGCGCGCTCGGGCACACTGGAGATGCGGTTGCCGTGCAAGAAGAGGTGCGTGAGGTTGCCCAGGTCGCGGAAGGTGTCGTCAGGCAGCGCCTGCAGTGCGTTGTCCTGCAGGTAGAGGTACTGCAGGGCAGCCAGCCCACGGAACAGGCCAAGGCCCAGCTCCTGCAGGCCGCAGCGGTCCAGGTGCAGCGTGTGCAGGCGGCCCAGGCCGTGGAACGTGGCAGGGTCCACAGACCGGAGCTGCGCGTTGTCGCTGAGGTCCAGCTGCTCCAGCAGGGCTAGGCCGGCGAAGGCGGCCGCGTCGATTCGGGCCAGCACGTTCGAGTGCAGCCACAGGATGGTGAGGTTGCGGCAGGCGCGGAAGCTGGCGGCCGGCACATGTGAGATGCGGTTGCCATGTAGGAAGATGCGCTGGCTGGCGGCCGGGATGCCCGGGGGCACAGCCTGCAGGCCTTGCTGGGGGCAGCTTGTCGTCACCTTGGGCTCATTGTAGCACACGCAAGCACCTGGGCACGGGGCTGCCACCCGCCAGGCCTGCAGCCACAGCACCCATGCCAGCAGCCGGCTCCCTATGGGCAGAGGACAGGGTAGTTAGCAGGCAGGGCAGGGGTACTGGAGGAGCTGGAGGTTCCAGAGCCAGGTGGCCCTGGGGATTGGGTCTCAGGAGGTCCTAGGGCTGGGACGGAGATGTGGCCGCCACCCCTGGGAACTGGGATGTTACGATCCCCGCTTCACAGGCCACATGGCCAACACTGGGCTAGAACACGGCTCGGAGCCACACACTTCCCCTGGAAGCCACATCTGCAGATTCCTCACACCACACATCCAGTGCTAACATACTCGGGAGCAGCCCGCTGGGGCACCAGGGGCACTCACTTGAAGGCCTCCTGAAATGGGCACTTGACACTGCAGGCACCTCCTCAGGACTGCAGGGATACAGAGCCCACACTGTAGGAGCCCCGGGGGGCACAGTGGAGGTTCCACCCACAAGGCCTAGGAAACACTGCAACGGGGCTGGGGTCCCTCTGGGCACCTCTGCGATTCCAGAGACAGTGCCTGGATGCCCAAGGGCCGGGGTAGAGGGCAAGTGTGTCCAGGGCTCGGGAGGAGGAGTCACATCCCCCAGCCACCCAGGCAGGCTGCTCCCTCCTCCGTACTTCCTCCTTTCAACCACTTCCTAACTCGGCAGGAACCCCTCCTGCAGCCTCCGCCCCCTGGCCTCATTCTCGGCTCCATCTCCTCCCTGGGAGGAGTTCACTCCTCCCCAGCCAACCCCTGCAGTGCCAGCTGCCTGCACCCCTCCCACCCAGATGCCATCAGCAGGGACAGCCTCCCAGTAGGTTCCCCCCCAGCCCCCGGGGCCTGCACCCCCTCCTCCACTGTGGGGTCAGACACACCTGGGGCTTCACCAAGGCCCTACATGGGCAGTAGCCCCTGCTAGGGTGCCGCATCCAGAGCTGGTCTCACCAGCGGAGCCAGTCACCCCGAGTAAGCTTTCCTGCCTCTCCTTCCGCCATTGAGCCCCTACCCCTTTCTAACGCTGAAGATTCTTTCCGCCTTCAGGAGTGAGTCTATTAAAATGTGAATCCCCCTGGGAGGGTTATGGCTTATCAGCTAACACTTGAGTTATCAGCTAACACCTGCGTTGACAGCTAACGCCTTCCTCAGCAGCTGCCTGAGCAGGATTCTGCAGACACGAGGCTAAGTGCTGGGGTTGGAGCCAGGCAGGAGGAAGGAGCAGACTACAGCCAGCTTCCCTGACCCAGAACTGTGACCCCGGGGCCTTCCAACCCACCCTGGGACCCCTGCCCCACTGGGTCCTCTCAACTTGGGCAGAAACCCCAAATGCAGAGCCCAGCAAGCCCAGCACATGCAGTGGGCCCCGGTCACGTGCGTCCTCCCAGACTTAGGTTGGAAGATCCTGAGACCCCCTCCCCACAGCCTGGGGGCCTCCTGTGCCACGCCTGCCCCAAGGCCATTTATTGGCTACCAAAGAGAGAATGGCAGCCCAGGGATGGGGGTCTGGAGGCCCACCCTGGGTGGGCTGGGTGAGGAAAGCACTTGGCTCTGGTGCTGTTTAAACAGCGGACACCCCTCCGCTCTCCTTCTATACACTCTTCTTGGGAAGGTGGGGCCTGACCATGCCAGCTCCCCACTGGTGTCTCACCTGCTGTCACCAGAGGGAAACTGTGCTATGTAAGTGGCACTTCCTGTCCTAGGGCCAGGTGGGTGGAGGCCCCAGGTGCTTGTTGGGGGGGGGGACTCTGCCACATTACTGACCACACCACATCACTGATTGTGGGAGTCACCACCTGAGTCTTGTCACCGACCATACCATGCGACTGACTGCACCCACCAAGGACTAGCCATGCATGGTGACCACGCCCGCCACATCACCACCGTCCTGTGGCTCCAGGCCCGAAGCTGTGGGCTGTGAGTTCAGCTGTGGTCAGGGCCTAGCTCACTCCCCCGGAACAGAGCCCTGTGCTCGGGAATCTCCTACTTCCCGAAGCCGCTGTGTCCACTCTAAACACCCCAGTGAGGTGCCAGGACTGAGCCACATGGTGGCGCGGGCTCGGAGGCGGGGAGGGGGAACAAGGGAGGATGTGGGGGAGTGGCCACGTGGCGCTCAGTTCTGCCAGGAAGTGGATATCAGGCGCAAAGACACGGCTCGGTTCCTGCCGAGACAACTGCTTTTCGTAAACCAACTTCTGAGAGTCGGGTGAGGTGGGCTCTCTTCTCACTGCAGCCACGGTAATTGGCTCCAGTCCAGCCCCCCTTGGGGCCTGCCCGCTGGTCTCCATGGCAACCCCTCTGCTGAGCGAGCAGGAGGGGGCATTGTTTTGTGAGATAATCAAACCCAACTTTGTGGCATGGGTTTGTCTTCACAGCCGGGGCCCTGGGATGAGGGTGACCCAGGCAGGTGGTGGGAGGGCATCCTCTGACCCCACCCCAGGGGCCCGACTGGTGACTCACCAGCCTCCTCCCTGCCCCCGTGGTGGACTGCAGCCCCTCCCTACCCCAAAAAACCTCCCTGGCCCATGGCCCCTGACCTGTTCCCATGGGCTCTGCAGCCTCAAGGCCACTAGGCCTCTCTGGCCATCTCGCCCACCTTTCTCCCCTCCCTGCCTGGCCAACTCCAACAGGATACTCTACTGTCCTTCTGGAGACAGCCTGTGTCTCTTTCCACTCTCACCCTGGCCCCCGTTCTCACAGAGCATCCAGTATGTGCTCTGTCCTTCCTGCTCCCTGCACATGGGGTGAGCAACCAGCCCTGCCACGGCCCCAGCTCTCCCAGAGAAACTGCACGGAGTGTGCGTGTCCACTGTCCCCCCAGGCTGGCCCCGCGGCCAACTAAATCTGCAAGGCCCCCAAGCTGTACACAGACTGGTACCTCTGTGCCCCTCCCACCATCCCAGGCCAATTTGCATCTCTTCTTTCCTCCAGGGTCTCCTCCGGGACCCCCCCAGAGGATGGCCCTGCTGCTGTCAGGGCTGGGTCATGGCTGGGAGGTCCTGTTTCAGCCCAGGCCTGGCTCAGGAGCCACAGTGTGGGGAGGGCTGGCTGTCCTGCCTGGAAGTCCCTGATCTTTCCCAGGGGGGACAGTGAGTGGATACCGACCGAGCCTCTCCCTGCAGCAGCCAGACTGGGCAGGGAAGGACCCAGGACCACCAGGCTGAAGGCCCAGGAGGCCGGGCAGCAAACAGTCCAGGACACATCCCTCCAACGGGAGTGGCAAGTGGCCCAGGTGGGCACCTGCACCACCAGCTTCAGTGAGCACAGAGAGGGCTGTTGACGTTCACTGCAGGAGCGGGTGAGAAGGGAGGGAGGGAGAGAGGGGAGGAGGTGGGAGGAGCCAGGCTTGAGCTCAGATCAGCTGGGCACTGGAGCAGGCAGTGAGGCCTTGGCGGGCTGAGCACAGAGAGGGCTGTTGACGTTCACTGCAGGAGCGGGTGAGAAGGGAGGGAGGGAGAGAGGGGAGGAGGTGGGAGGAGCCAGAGGGAGGAGGGCCAGGAGGGCAGGAGCAGAGGGGAGGGGTGGAGAAGGGGGATGGGGAAGTGGTAGTGGGAGGCTCCAGGCAGGCGGCTGCTGAGGTCAGCAGCTCACCCCAGCAGCCCAGGGAGCTGAGCGGAGCAGGGATGGCCTTCTTCATGTCATCCCTGGCCCCCACTGTTCCTGGGGCCCCGCCCACCTCCATGCCCCGCCAAGCCTGGGCTGAGGTCCCACAGGGATGCTTCTGCCTCTGCCCAGTGAGGCAAGGAGGCAGCACAGGGCAGGCAGCTGTGGAAGCCCCGAGTGCCAGCTTTCATCCATGTACAGCTTGGCGCCCTCGGGCCCCAATGCCACCCCTGGGCTGGGATCACTGGAGGGTCCCATTATCTGCTATAAAAAGATGTGAGTCAGCAATACATTTACAGGTTAAGAAACTGAGACAGTGAGTGGTTAAGCCCTGCCTGATCCCACCCCAGACTACCCAGGAGGAGCAGCCGGGGGAGGGAGTCACAGTGCTGCCCAGAGGGGCCACGAGGCGTGTCCTGCCCAAGCACAGAGGCTGGTGGCCTGGCCAGTAATGGCAGAGGGCATAGAGGGGCCGGGCTGCAGCCACAGGCAGAGAGGCGGGTAGTGCCCTCCTGTGCCATGGGTGGCTGGGAGGGGAATCTCCAGAGAGGCTCTGAGCTGCTGCTTCCCAAGGCTGGGGCCGGGGGTGGGGCCAGCTGTAGCACAGCCGGGACATCAGTCAGCTCAGGATCCTCTCGGACAGCATCCATGTCCCCGTGAGGCGGTCACGTCACAGACCACAGTTATGAGGCAGAACAAGAGGCCACAGCTCAGCGCACCGAGGCCAGAAATAGCTCTGGGCGGGGGTGGCGGGCCTGTGTCATCCCCACACCACAGAGGGTCAGGGCACCCCTCCCATGCCTGCTCCCCACTCCTGGCCCCTCCACTACTGACTCACTCCCCCCGCCCCCCATCCATCTGTCCCCCATCATCACTTGCTTCTCACATGCACACCCACCCACCGTCCATCCTCAGGCCCCCAGACACGTGCAGGGGCAGCTCCATTCCCACGGCGCTTCCTGTGCCCTTCCGGGGCTCCGGGTGCGAGGACAGGAGGCTGGCAGCAACTCCTGGTGGGGGCAGTCTGCCCTTGAGGGGCCCCACATCTCCTGGGGCTGTGGGCACCAGCCCCTGCTGCCCTGGCCCCGGCCCCTGCTCCTTATTGATCTTGGCTGCAGTGGCAGGGTGGGCAGTCCAGGTCAATAACCGGCAAGGACACCTGCCTGCTGAGAGGCCATCAGACTTAGCTACATGCTGTGGGGGAAACTGAGGCCCAGTGTCAGCAGAGCCTTTGGAACTGGCCTCTCGAGTGTGCCTGGTGCTCCCTCAGCCCCCTCGGCTCCATGCCTTGCCCTGGAGAGCAGGGCTTGTCGCTGCCCGGTGATGCTGAGCTCACTGAGACAATGGGATGTGGGTGGGTCCAGGGCCGGCAGGCTAGGCCAGGGCTGGGCCCTTCAGTCCAGCCAATTCTCTTAGAAGGAGTGTCAAGTTGAGGAACATGAGAACTGCT